AAATAAATTTAAAAAAAAAAACAAAAAAAAAAAAAAAAAAACTGACACTGCTGGGTTACCCTTGACCTTCGAGTGCCTGAGCTGACCTTGAGTTTGAGTCTACATTAGGCTTCCCAAAACCAAAACAAAACAAAATTCAAAGGAAACAAGTACAGTACTTACAGTGAGCAAGCTCGAGGAACTCAGGGTATTCACCCAGTATTTATTCCACAAGAGCTCAAGTAGTTTACGATCCAAAGAGGATTTGAAATACGAGACTTCTAAGGCATAGTATCTGCAAAACAAAGTATACATTGGGCAAGTAGAAAAAATACACTGTTATATTCCATACAAGTCCTGGTTACATTTAAGCAAATTATATTTTATATTCAGATAATCATATAGTTTAACAATAGGTTCCTTTGTTTTCAGGTGGCATGGCTCTAAATCTGTCTACTAACCTTTCTTCACACACACACACACACACACACACGCTTCTGTAGTGCCCCCAAATTTCCAAGAAGCTACTAACAATCAGAATTACTAAATGACAGTGTAGATGTGTGTTCTGAGTTCAGCAGTTTTATAACAGGTTCTAAAGGAGCCGCCTTCCAGGGTCAGCTGTAAGTTCTCAACCTTAGTAAACACATGAGCAGTGACACACGGATCTCCTACTTCTTCCTTTTTTTGAGTTAGGCCCTTGTGTTTCTTTGCACCTTAAAGTAGGTCCCAAGTTGCCTAGAAGAACTTTTATTGCTTTGAAAGGTGGTTCATTTATAATCATGAAGTACCAGAGAAAATTTGGTTAAATATCTGAAAAACATATTATTATTATTGAAAGACAAAGTCTTGATATGTAGTTCTGGCTAAGCTGGAACTCACTACGTAGATCAGGTTGTCCTCAAATGTCCAGATCTCTGCCTCCTAAATGCTGGATTAAAGGTGTGCGTGACCATGACTGACCTTTCTTAAAGTAATAGATATCTAAATCTCTTAGCGTGTTCTATAAACCAATGGATATAGGAAGCACAAGAAACTCCTTTGAGAAATTCATCGTTAAATCGAAGTTAACTATGATAAAATACTCACCAACAGTGACTGGTGCTACAGGGTACGTATAAAACAGCCACCGACCACTATACTAGAGACCCTAGTTCTCGGAAGAGTACAACTCTGCCAGGCCGTTGTGGTGCACAGCTTTAATCTCAGCACCGGGGAGGCAGAAGCAGGTGGATCTTTGTGAGTTTGAGGCCAAGCCTGGTCTACAAAATGAGTTCTAGGACAGTCAGAGCTGTTACACAGAGAAACCCTGTCTCCAAAAGCCAAACCAAAAAAAAAAAAAAAAAAAAAAAAAAAAAAAAAAAAAAAAAAAAAAAAAAAAAAAAAAAAAAACCCACACAAAAAAACAAAACAAAAAAAAAAAAAAAAAAAAAAAAAAAAAAAAAAAAAAAAAAAAAAAAAAAAAAAAAAAAAAAACCAAAAAAACCAAATAACAACTTAAAAAAAAAAGAAAAAAGAACCCAGCTGGTCATTTGGAGCCAGAACTGCCTGAGAAGCCCAAGGTAATACTTATAAAAGTCTTTAATGGGCTGGTGGCTGGTGAGGTGGTTCAGCCACTAACAGAAGTTGCTGGGCAAAGCCTGGAGACCTGAGTTTGATCCCTGGAACCCAAGTAAAGACAGAAAGGTAGAAAGAGAGCAGACTCCACAGAACTCGTCCTGTGTTCTCCACACTGTAACACGGCGTGCGTGCACACACACACATACAACAAAAGTACATTAGTTTGTCTGGACAAGAACAGAATTATGTGAGGGAAACTCATGCTATGTTGGGGTCTTATCGGTTCGCACTGAATCTTTAAACAGTTCGCTTATAACATTGAAACATAAGACTAGTTAAAAACTCCTGAGGAGCAGGGAATGGTGTCATATCCACCCCTTTAACCCTAGCACTCGGGATGCAGAAACAAGCAAAATCTCCGTGAGTCTGAGGGCAGCCTGATCTATACAGTGAATTTCAGGACAGCCAGGGCTATGTATAAAGACCTTGTCTTAAAAAAAGCAAACCAAACCAACCCACCAAATAGAACTCCCGAGGAATAGCTTAGTGACAGGGTGCTACACCAGGCACAAGGTCCTGGTTTTAGTGCTGAGCACTTCAAGGACAGACAAAACATCTGTCCTCCCATTAAGGTTTTGTAAGTTAAACTACTTAACATATCAGAGCTCACACCGCTGAAGACATCACATGGTTGGTCATAGGATGCAGTGGTCGGAATGAGAATGACCCTCATAGGCTTATATATGAATGTTTAGTCTCTAGTGGCTGGACCTGTTTGCGAAGGGTTAGGAGGTGTGGCTTCTTTGGAGGAGGTGTGTCACTGGGAGCGGGCCGAGGTTTCCAAAGCCCACACCATTCAGTTATTTCTCTTCCTGCCTCTCACTTGAGCATCAGACATAGCTCTTGGCTAGTGCTCCAGCCCTATGCCTGCTGCTGCCATGTTCCACACCATGGTCATCATGGACTAAACCTCAAGAGCCACAAATGCTTTATTTTATAAGTTGACTGGATTACGGTGTTTTGTCTTGGCAATAGAAAAGTAGCTAAGACACAGGACAGAGAGAAAACAAGCAGAACCTGGGTGCAGGCCCTTCTTTCCGGATAGTCCTCGTAATGCTGGAGCATGCTCTACAGGCTGCTGGGGAAGAACAGTCAGCAACAGTTTTATCTGTGTAAACAGTTTTGGATCCTGTGTGCTACGATATCAACCTGTTAACTATGTGGCCTCGGGCAAGTCTGCTCTGGGGTCGTCAACTGTTACCCGACTGCATTTGAGGCCCACTTTACAGGAATCCTGGCCTCGTCCTGCCTTCCTGCTCAGAAGTCCTTGGCTGCCCTTAGTGGAGGAGCTATTGCCATTATTTTACTAGATGGACATAATGAGCTAATCAAATTGCCTTCTAAACTATGCTTATACTTGTACATTATTACTGCTGGCAGCCTTGGTCAGATAAGCGTCTTATTGCAGTGGGCATAGCTGATTGCTGGGTTAGAATAGTTGATAGTGGAATGCTCAGCTATAAACACCAATATCAACCCTTTCCCCAAGCATCAGGAAACACCATGGAAGAAGGGCAGAAAGAGGCAGGGGAGGGAGGGTGAATGGTGTAGAAGGTCACAAGGCCCCACCTTCCCCGAGGATTTATACAGTGAATGATGCTGGGGAGGGAGACTCTTTAGTGATGTGCTCACTGCAATGCTCCTGTAAACAACACATCTCTCATGCTTCTGTAAGCAGCCCTGATGAATTCACCAGGTCATCAAAAATATACACACACCACAAAAACCCCACCAAAGATAAGCATCAAGGGGATGAGTAGGGAAGAGGAAAGGGGATCCTTAGGAGAGGGTGGGAAAGGGTAATGGGAATGAATATGATCAAATGCATCATATGCACATACAAATTTCATAATGAAACTTAGTTATGTATAATGTGTACACTGCAATAAAGTAAATAAACCAAAACTAGATAAGCTATAAGGGATATCTTCAGTCTTTTTACTTTGTTGAGCCTATATAGGAATATATAAACACCTTATCTAGTATGTGCTTAAACATTTAGCATATCAGAGCCTATATTTCAAACAGATTGGAGAGGTTAGGGCGGAGCTCAGTGGCAGGGACCTGAGCAGCAGATACGAGGCTGCAGTTGATTCGCAGCAGACAGCTGCCCGCAGATGGGCTGTGCACTGTGAGCAGGAGTGGCACCCTTCAGGGCGGGAGAGGAGATACAGAGAAAAGGGGACATTAGATAATCACTCGTTTATTTAAGCAACAATTTAAAAGTGCCCACCTTTGTCTGTGCTATGCCTGATTTTAAATGCAAGGACACGGCAGTGAGTAATTCTGTCCAACAGCAAGGAACTAAAAACATCCCATGGTGACTGCTAAGAAGGAAAAGGTACATGTGACAGAAGGTGCTACTTGAGACAAAGTGGCCAGCGTGTATTTTCTGTTGAGGTGCTCTGGAAACAGACCCCGTGCAGCAGTTAGTGAGCCAGTGACCACGAGGGTGAGTGTCAGCAGCTCACCTGACAAACGGCAAGGAACAGCAGAGCTGGGCTAGACTTCAATCACAGAGGGCTGTGCAGTCTGCAAGGCTATTTAACGGACCTTATTCTGGGGAGGATGGAACATTATGCTGACACACACTTCCAACAGCATCAGCCCGGCTGGCTCATCCTTAGGGGTGAAGGGCAGACATAAAAAGACTAGTATGTGCTGAGTGCTAGGGCGGTAGTGTCGGTGAAGGTGGTAGCAGAAAAAATATTTTTACAAAATATAAAAGCTGCCCTCTTGGCTTGGCTTTTTTAACTTGAAGAAAAGCTTTTGCTAAGAGAAAACTGGGCATTTAAAAAATTACATTTACTTATTGTGCATGTACATATAAGTGTGGATGAATGTACCATGTGGAAGTCAGAGGACAACAGAGAATAAACTCTCTTCCCACTGTATAGGTCCTGGGGATTAAATTTAGGTCATCAGCCTTGGCATCAAGCACCTTTATTCACTGAGCTATAATGTCCCCAGAATGGTGTCGTTTCCCCCTCCCGCTCCAGACAAGGGTTCTCTGTGTTGCCCTGGCTGTGCTGGAACTTTCTCTGTAGATCAGACTGGCCTTGAACTCACAGAGATCTGCCAGCCTCTGCTTCCCAGGGATCTCTCTGAGTTTGAGGCCAGCCTGGTCTACAGAATGAGTTCCATGATTGGCTCCATAGCTATTGAGAAACCATGTCTTGAAAAACCAAAACCAAACAAACAAATAATAAAGGTACTACGTATTATGAAATGAATTTTGTCTCAGTATTTCTCATGTCTCTGACTGGATGATTTCTGAGCTTTGGTGCGGGTTGAGAGGGCCTAGGAACGGCAGGCAGGCTAAGCTCTCTGCTGTGTCACATCTGCAGCAGCGACACTGTTCAGTCACTCACTGTTTGCAGTGCACGCCAAAATCTTCTATTTTATTAAGTGGGATAGTCTGGTATTCAGAAGGTCCTTCATCAGGAGGTTTGTAGCCCTAAACAAAACAGAAAGTAGAAAATGAAAAATAGCATAAAGCAGAGCCCCCTACGTCTTCTCTGCAGCTTCTTATGTATGGGAACATGTAGCAAGCCTTTTCATCAGCTGCCAGGTCACAAATAACAACATGGACACTTACTATTAATTATGAAAGCTTGGCCTTTTAGCTTAGGCTTGTCTTAACTAGCTCTTATAAATGAAATTAACTCATTTATATTAATCTACGTTCTGCCATGTGGCGTTACCTCTCTTCCATCTCGCATCTTCTGTTTCCTCTGTGTCTTGATGGCAAATCTATGCACCTAAATCTCTCCTCCCAGTTCCTCTTCTACCCAGAAGTCTCACCTATTCTCTCCTGCCTGGCTATTGGCCATTTAGCTCTTTATCAAACCAATCAGAGATACATCTTTACAGTGTACACAAATATTCCACAACAGGATCAAACTCTGGAGTCAAATAGTAAGCATCAATATTCATATTTAGGATATGTCCTAAAGGCGCCTGCTGGCTCACACATGCTAATTTTAGTACTTGGGAGGCAGAGACAAAAGCGACCACTGCCTTTGTGAGACCAGCAGAGTCTACATAGCCAGCTCCAGGTGAGCCAGGGCTATAGAGTGTGATCCTATCTTAAAAGCAAAGCAAACCAAACAACACATCTTCGAAAGAATTGATTCTCCTGGACCCCGACACCTTTAGCTGCTCTGGCGTGGCTTGGCTCACAGCTTCATTTTCCCTGTTTCTGGTGCTGTGTCCCTGTGCTTGTAACTAAGCTGATTTTGGCTCCCTCAAGGAAGGAGATGGATTTAGCTTGTTTCTCTAGTACTTTTCAAAATGCCATGGGCACACAAATGTTTCTAAAGAAATAAAATCCTCTGTCTGGCAAGATTAATATGTAACATAAATGTGTTATCTTTCGATATGGACTGAAGCAGTTCGCAACTCTGTATTTGAAAATTCTTCTACGCATACACAAAGATACTACATAGGTTGTATATATAGCTCAGGGTAGAGTGCGTGCCTAGAACCCCAGCACTGAAAAAAAAGCTTGCTGATTAAATATGAGAAGCTAAATTTAGACCCCAGAACTCACACATAGCTGGGCACATCTGTATCACTATTTATCTATGGTCAGGTGGAGGTGGAGACGGACTCCACAGAACAGCTGGCTAGCCAGGTGTACAGAGGGAAAAGTAAAAGAGCCTGTCCCAGTCAGGGTGGAGGGAGAGGAGCAACACCCGAGGTGTCCTCTGACTGACACACCAGTGCCTGTACCCAGCCTCTGGGCTGGCACACATCTGTAATCCTAGTACTGCAAGGCAGAGCTACATAGTAAGTTCAAGGCTGGCCTAGACTACAAGAGACTGCCACCTCACAGCCCCTCTACCCACTTACCTTTGGATATGTCCTAAAGGCGCCAAGATTCACTTTTCCGGCAGATATTGTTCTGGTCGGATCAATCTACAAGAGATATGTGCTTAATATTGGTCAACATAAATCATATGCTCCACTGAATCAACACTAGAAACCCCCAAACAAACAAGTAAATATAGTATTATATATAGACACTAAAACAACAAATAATGTGAAAAGAGGAACAAACATTAAAAAAGTTCAATGAAATGGGAATACTTTACAGATCAGAACCAAGTCCTCACATCACCAAAGAATATCTGTTTAGTATCATGTAAGCTGTGCATGCTATTTGGCAAGACCATGTCTTCAAAACAAACAGGTGAGTTGGGTTGGGTGGTGGCGGGGCACACCTTTAAGTTCAGCACTCTGGAGGCAGAGGCAGGTGGAGATCTCTGAGTTCAAGGTCAGCATGGTCTACAGAACAGTTCCAGTACAGACTGAGCTACACAGAGAAACTGTGTCTCATAAAACAACAAAAGAAAAAAGTCAATAAACAAACAAACGAATAAATGAAAGTAATAAATTAGCTGAGAAATTACCTGTCCCCTTTAATAGATGAACAATGTTAGTTTCCTCCTAAAAAATCTAGATTGCACCTAAAACACTCTGGACATAAAGGAAGACAGGCTCTAGCTATTTCGGCTTTTCCAGTTAGCCCTGATGAAATGCCTGGAAGAGCCGAGAAGCTGACAGAGGTACGAGGTGGAGGGTGAGATGTGGGAGGCTAGGAACATCCTATAGACTGACAACAGAGCATCATCCTCACTATACTCTTTCCATTTTCTAGTATTTTTTTAGCAAATCTTCTTGAAGTACATAGTAACTGTTTTTGTATAAAAGGAAAATCAAAACAAACCTGGTGCAAAGTATGCCTTTAATCTCAGCACTCAGGAGGCAGAGTCAGGTGGATCTCTGGGAGTTCCAGGACTTGTCTACACATCCAGTGCCAGGACAGTTAGAGCTACATAATAGAGACCCTGTCCCCCAAACAATGACAACAACAAAAATCAAAATTAAATCAAATCCAAAACCAAACTTTTAAGGGCTGGAGAGATAGCTCAGCAGTTAGGGATATTTGCTGTTCTAACATAGGGACCTAGGATTGGTTTCCAGCACTCACTTGGTGGCTTCCGACCACCTCTAATTTCCAGGAGTCCTAGAGGACCCAATGCCCTCTGTGGCCTCCACAGGCACTAGGCACAGGTGTGGTGCACAAAGTTAAATCTTAGATTTTAAACTACATCTTGTTTATTTCATGTCAAGGTCAGAGGACAACTTGAAACATCAGTTCTTCCTTTAACCACCTGGGTCCTGGGGATTAAACTCAGGTCACCTAGCTTGGCAGCAAGTGCCTTTCCCCATGGAACCACCATGCTGATCCTAAAAACCAGGCTTATAATGCATTTATTAAAGCTTGGAGGACTGAGGATATCACTTAGTGGTAGAGAGAGCTCTGACCTAGCATATGCAAGGCTCCAGGCTAACCTCAGTCACCATAACAACAACAACAACCAGAACCTGAACTGGTTCTGTGGGCAAACGGGCTTGCTGCTGAGTCTGAGGACTAAAGTTTGGCTCCTGAGACCCATGTGGCAGAAGGAGAGAATGGTCTCCCCAGGTTGCCTACTGACCTCCTCACATGACATAGCATGCGCCCATCTCTCCCCCAGCTTCTGATACAAACATATACAGCCAAAAGCACACACACAATAAATTTAACACGGAAATAAAGAAGTACTAAGAAAGAGATGTGGTGGTGTACACTTATAATTCCAGCATCTAGAACAGAGAGGCAGGAGAATCATGAGTTCTACTTGCCTGAACACAGAGGTTAAACAAAGGGCAGCTTGGAATATGAGACCCTGTATCTGTTTTTAGATTTATTTATTTTTATGCTATATATTACTGCCTGGGTGGCTGTATGTACACCACATGCTTGCCTAGTGTCCTTGGAGGTCAGAGGAAGGCATCAGATACCCTGGAACTGGAGTTATAGATAGTTGTGATCCTCTGTGTCGGTGATGGGAATCCAACCAGGGCCCTTTGCAAAAGCAGATATCCTATTTCTTAAAAATAAATAAGTAAATGAAATAAAATAAAATAAAATAAAAAGTACTTACCACCACGGCTACGAATGGTTCCTGGAACTGCTGGTTCAGCATCTGTGTACTAACGTCAATCCCAGAGAGCCAGCAGCCATAACCAGGGTGGCTATGGTACCAGCCAATCGCATTTTCAAGGCGGCCAACCTAACACAGGAAAGAAAAGGCTTGCTTGAGGTACGGTTTAATCTCACAGATATGGCTGTTCACAGGCTTTATGTAGCAATGTGGTCTGGTACAGTGTGCAACACATGCTGCTGTCAAGTTAAGAGATTCTGAAGAGATGATACATGTGTACAGTATAAAATTATCAGGGTACAAGAACAAGGGTACTTAGCTCCCCTCTCGTTATCTCTCTCCTCATCCATCTGTTTCTCAGCACAGTATTATCCCTCTAGCATCATATACGCCCTTATAGACGTAGTCTACAGAATAACAAACATCTCTACATAGTTGCGTACTACATATAACATTCTGTTATCTGTCTGTCTGTCTATCTTTTAAATTGGACAAACAGTTCTGGAACTGTTCCATGTAAGTAAATACACATAGCTTTTTAAAAAAATTAATTTACTTTTATTTTATGCGTATTGGTGCTTTGCCTGCATGTATATCTGGGTGAGAGTGACGGGTCCCCTAGAACTGGAGTTACAAACAGCTGTGAGTTGCCATGTGGGTGCTGGGAATTGAACCATGGTCCTGAAAGAGCAGTCAGTGCTCTTAATCGCTGAGCCATCTCCAGCCCTGAGAGGTTTCCCCCCCCCCCCCCCCAATTGTATTTTTGAGACAGGATTTAGCATTGGCTGTCCTAGAACTTGCTATGTAGACCAGGCTGGCCTCGACTCGAGAGATCTGTCAGCCTCTGCCTCCCAAATGCTAGTATTAAAGGCGTGCAACAACACTGCCCAGCAAGGTTTATTTATTTTAAAGCCTGCCCACATAGTCCATTAATAGGTGCACCACCATTTATTTACCTGAGTTTCTACTCAAGAATACTTAATTCCTACATTTCCTCTCTTCGTTTCTTTCTGAGGGGTAATGGGGATACTGAACTCAGGGCTTATGAATGCCAAGCATGAGCTCCACCAGCAGTTATGCCTCTAGCCTACAGTATTTTTTTGTTTAAACACACTGACAGTGACTGTGAAAATCTATTTGGATAGAATGGCCCCCACCTTGCCACCTATATTATAAACCTCGCCAGACTTTTAATATTTTACATAAAAACTGTAGAATTTAAAATATGAAATTTAGCCAGTACACTGCCTTTAATCACTCGGAGGCAGAGGCAGGTGGGTCTCTTTGAGTTTGAAGCTAGCTTGGTCTGTACAGAGCAAGTTCTGGGACAGGCTCCAAAGCTACAGAGAAATCCTGTCTCAAAAAAACAAAAAACGAAAACCCTCAACAAAAACAAACAAACAGACAAAAACAAAAACAAAAAAAAAAACCAACAAAACAAAACAAAATCCCCGAAAACCCAGAAGTTACCTTGAGAGTTACTAAGTTTTAAGAAACGCTATTTCACCTGTTTGGCATTTTCGATGTATGCAGCCATGTACTCATAAGCAGCGGCCTGAGCATTGACCCGCGTCTCAGTGCCCTCGACAGGCAAAGCAAAGCTGTCCATGATGATCATGGTCTCACCGTCCACTTTCCCAAGCATCAAACCCATCACTTCCAAGTTGCCTCCTGACCTGGCATGCATCACCATTTTCAGTAGAGCCAACGCTGAGATTTTGCAGTATTTAAAGTAATGGTGACTACAAAAAAAGAAAAGAAAAGAAGAAAAGAAAACCACGGCGTGATTAAGGGTCTTAATGTACAATTTTAAAAGACAGTGTTGGTGAAAATATTAAACAAGTATTGGTGGGGTTTACAGTGATGGAAGGGGGTGTGGGAGGGAAAGGAAAGCAGTAAGTACAAGGTGCTTGGAAAGAGCACGTCACAACGCCACAAGTTACTGTCCCCCCAGCCCCCACCTCGGAGGAAAATGAAGAGTCTGAGATAAATTTTAAATATACTACTGAAGGGAGGGAATATCAATTCCAATTTTTTTCTCCACCAACATTGAATTATCATATGTCTGATTACTCTCTCAGGCCTAAATTTCTGGCCTAAATTAATTACTGTGTGTGCTACATGTTCATCGGTGTACCACCAGATGGTACATGAAGACGACAGGGAGCTGTTGGGTGTCTGCCTCGATTTCTTTTGTTTGTTGAGACAGTTTCTCTGTGCATCTCTGGCTGTCCTAGACCTCACTCTGTGGACCAGGCTGGCCTTGGAACTTTGAGTGCTGGGATTAAAGGAGTGTGTCAACATGCCTACACACTTTCCTTTATTTTATTTTACTTTGTTTCTTTGAGGCAGAGACCCTCTCTAACAGGAAGCTTGAAGCTTACTGTTTTGGAGAGGCGGGGGGAACAGCTTATACATCTTCCCGTCTCTGCTCTCTGTCCACACGATGCTAAGGTTAAAGACACAGACAACCAAGCATGGATTTTTACATAAGCACTGGGGATCAGAACTCAGGTCTGCATGCTTAATAGTAGGCACTCTTACCTACTGATCTGCAGGACTCAAATTTTACAAACGTGGCCTCTGAAATCCATCTGTTTAGGTTTAAATCTTGCCCATTTAATGCTTATGTAAATAGGTATTTCACAGTTGGTATGAAAAGTACACAAAGAAGTGTACTTTAGGGCTGGAGAGATGGCTCAGAGGTTAAGTGCACTGGCTGCTCTGCCAGAGGTCCTGAGTTCAATTCCCAGCAACCACATGGTGGCTCACAACCATCTGTAATGAGATCTGGTGCCCTCTTCTGGCCTGCAGGTATACATGTAGGCAGAACACTGTGTACTTAATAAATAAATATTTTAAAAAAAAAAGAAGTGTACTTTAGTACACTTTAGCTTAGTCCCCAAAGTACTAAATCAAAGATGCTATTAGCCTTATTAACCTGCCTCTTAAGATACTCCACGTGTGCTGAAGTACGTGGCTTCCTTCCGATATCATCTTGAAGGTTAAAAAGTAGATCTAATGTCTCCACTTGTCTTGTGACTACAATTTTGAGTTTGTCATCATTGTATGTAAGTAAACTCTTGAACAACACACACATTTAAAAATCACGATGTAGCTTACGTGTTTGAATGAACATAATTAATGCCAAAGATGCTGAGGAAAACTGACAGTTTATATCAATCTAAAATGTGCAGTTTTGGGATCAACCAGGTAATCTATGCAGGTCACTCAGCATCTCCAATGCTTTCTGGATGCCTGCCCGGAGAAAGTGACCAAGTGCAATTTCCAGCTATTGCTAGATTTCAACCACAAGTTGAAAGATACCGAGACCTAATCTTGGAAATCAAGACATAAATTTAAAAAAACTGGATCCTCTTTCCACTGGGGAAAGAGAGAAAGACAATCATTACTGTCCTCTCATTACATACGGTTCATCTAGAACTTTTTTCTTTATCTTTTTTTTCTTTTCAAGACAGGGTTTCTCTGTAGCTTCTGGAGCCTGTCCTGGAACTCACTCTGTAGACCAGGCTGGCCTCAAACTCACAGAGATCCGCCTGCCTCTGCCTCCCAAGTGCTGGGATTAAATGCGTGCACCACCACTGCCTGGCTTCATCTAGAACTTTTTATTAAATTACTTCAAAACATCACCAACAGCTAGGTTTATTTTTGTCTTACAGGTAAGTTTGGAAACTTTAGTTTCCTAAGGCCAGTCAACGGTTTAAGTGACAGCTGTAACGACTTGACTTTCAGTCTGTTGCACCTGAGCTCACTGCTAGAGTATGATTGTGAGGTGACTTTCTGAATGCATTTACTGGTTTTCCTATACTGAAAAGGAATGAAAGTACAGTACTGGACTGTCATGATTACTACGTGACATGAAAATCTGAAGCCAAGTGCCAGGCCTACAGTAAGTACTCAACAAATACCGTGGAAATAGAGAACCGACAGTTAAAGCCAGCTTTGCTAACAAGACAAACAAACAGAAAATCAAAACTGGGAACGGTGATTCCTTTAGCATCGTCCAGTGATTGTTTCCCAACTCTCCTTAACACAGTCTGCTCTAAAAAAATCTTTTGACTTCTCAGTCCCACAGATGCATACATGGATTTGGTTGGGGGCAAATAGGCATTAAACTCCATTTCCTAATTCCTGGCTCACATGAATCATTGTAGTAGTATTTTAGAGAACTAGGAAGGGGCTTGGTATGTTTCTAAACTGGTTACAGGAAAAAAGTGCTAAAGAAAAAAATCTCTTAAAAGTTTNTTTTTTTTTTTTTTTTTTTTTTTTTTTTTTTTTGAGCTCAGTGGCCTGCTAATTCAATTTCTGAAAACAGCCTAACTCTTCAGTTTAGGATCCACTGAAGGCTGCAACAAGGTGCATGTAGCCACCAGGTTCAAGGCAGAGTGTGCGAGAATTATGAAAATAATCTTGTCTGAAAGTGACATCCTAAATCTGCCCTGTACATCCCCTGGAGGCAAGTCGGTTAAAGAAACTTCCTGGAAAGGGTGTGGAAGCAGGCCTCAGAGCAGGAGTTAGGCTCTACCACCCCGAGAAGGCAGACTATAAACACTGTGGGGGTGTTCTGTGGTCGCCCCCCACCCCCGAAAGCCAAGCGTCCACCTCCTTCGACTCCCGCCATCCCTTCCCTCCCTTGCATCTCGCCAGGGACCTCCTCACTCCTTAGTCCAGGGTTTCGCCGCCAGGATTTCTTGCTGTTGTTTTTTGTCATATTTGTAGATTTCATCGATACTCTGCGCTTCCTGCATGTTGTTGGCCAATTCCCAGGTTTTCTGGGCCATACCACTCCCGGAAGCAGCCATGGCCGAGGGACCGGAGAGATTGTCGCCTCCACCCCACCACCGAGATGCAACTTCAGTTCGCTGGGCCTCCGCGTGCGGGCTTTGCACCTTTCCCACCGCGGTGCACACTCACTGGCCTCTCAAGGTAGCCATGACACCTACGACCGGAGGTGACGTCGGTCCAGACCATTCGGGGGGCCGGGGCGCGTCGGCGGCGCCACGCGCCAAAAGACGCCGAGAGGCCGCTGAGCTCAGGACAGCTTTGCGGATGAAAGGATGACATGCTGGCTCGGAAAACCGTACGTGTGAATTGCGAGGGACACAAAGTCTCGGTGCGGGAATGGTTCAGCCTTCCGCCCTGCCAGGAAGGAATCGGCCGTCCCGGTCCGCACTGCGCAGACTCAGCCCCCGCCATGTTGCGTGTAGGTGGGGCTTGGGCTGGGAGCTGTGGGCTCGCTTTTATTTATTTATTTGAGTGTGGGCACTTAAGACGAAATAAATTGTTGTGAATACTAAATGTTTCTAGAAAAACAGTGGTGTAAGTATCTCTGGATACTGGTTTTGGAGGGGAAGACAACCGTGACAATCATTTTAAAGATAATCCTTCGTGTAGTGGAAAAAACCTCACGGGCTCGTGGTTGGTATTTCGATTTGTGTTTTCGCTACTGTTGCGATGAGGGAAGCAAAACTCCCGGGATGCTAAGGTTATCTTTCTGACGTGTTTATAAGGGGACATTTATACAAGTGTTAGGAGCTATGGCTGCCTTAGTACTCTTTAAAGTTTATCTTCCCTGCTGGAAAGTCGTTTTCTCAGTGCGGAATGAATCTCAGCTGTTTCTTCCCGCAGTGAAAGTGAAACCTGTTCCAGTCAGTGTTTCTAGGTTCCCCTATTTCTATCTCCCCCAATACTCACAGGACTGTAAGTTAAAGGCGTGCATGAAATTTGTGCTTATTTTCTTTAATATTTTATTTTTTTGCTTAGAAAAAAAATCATAGCTTTTCAAACACAGCTCCTACAGGCGTCTCCAGCGTCATCTCCTCTTAGCTCTCCCCACCCAGCTTTTCATTCTATTAGTCCTTTTCCCTTGGTTTAGTAATATAATTCGTCGTTAAGCGTTGCTTTAAATGCACTTCCTGACGTTTCTGCTGTAGAGCACACACTACTCGTTAAAAATTACAGCTCAGAGATGCCCTCCGTTAACTCTAACAGTAACTGCTTCTTCCACAGAATCGCGAAGACTCTGTAGTCGCTTCACCTGAACGTTTTGTTTTGCTCAGCAAGTTTTGGGTTGCATCTTCTAATGTAGGTTCTTGGCAGACGAGTTGGCTAAAGACAAAAGCAGGATCGTTAACTCCTCACCGCAGCTGTTGGTGTTGACATTGGCTTCAACCGTTGGAGAATATTGGGTTTAATCACCGTATAAATCCGAGCGTGGTTGCACCTGCCTGTAATCCCAGCAGCTGGGAAGTGGAGGCAGGAGGACGAGTTCAAGGAAAGTCTTCCTACATAGCAATTTGAGGTTCAGGAAACCTGTTCTAAAAAGTCACGGAGGAGGGGCAAAGAAAACAAAGCAAGGATCACACAAACCAGCGAGGAAGTTGCTCCACTCTAGAAATCACAGTACTTGGGAGGTGGAGGCTGCAGGATAAAGAATTTGAGCTCCCCCCGGGGGGGGGGGTATTTGAGATAACAAACCCACAATAAAATCGTACCTCCTTAGAGTCTAAATTAGGCCACTCTAGGGACGCTAGAATACATTAGTATCATTAGTTCCCTTTCCCTGAGAAGCTATTCATCCAGTGGTAGGTAGCACAGCCACTCAGAACGGACACAGAATAACTTGTTGAAATGGTAATAAAAGCCCATGACAGAGTTGACCAGCCTGCTGGGCTGGGGGTAATGCCTGTGAGAAGAATGCCAGTCTTCCAGTCCCTGCCACACTACCCGTGACAACTGTGGAGACCCTCCCGGGGCAGGAGCAGCGGCCACGTCACACGAATCTCACTCTGGCTCCCACTCCCCTCCTCCCCCGGCACTGTAGCGTGTGCACCGTGGCCTCCGGGACTGCAGGGGGCGCCCTCGGCCGCGCGGCCTCCGCCAGCTGCCCGCAGGGGCGGGGCCGCGCCTGGCGGTTGGTGGAGGGAGGGCGGGCGGGGGGCTGGGCCCGGGAGGCGGAGCCAGAGCTGGCCACCGGTTATCTGGTCCGCGCCGGGGGTCGCGGACACCGGCTGTGGCAGCGGCTTGGGCTCCCTACGCGTCGGTGGGAGTAAGTCCGTGGGCGGCGAGTGTGGGAGGCCGCGGGGTGGGTCCGCGCCCGGGACCCGGTAGCCGCGATTGGGCGGGGGCTCGAGCCTGCCGGGCGGAGCCGGGGAGCTGCGGGGTGTCGCGGGGGCGGTGCGGACGGGCAGGGTACGGGTCGAGGTCGGCGGGCGCGGGGCGCGAGGCGGTGGCCCTGCCGGCGCCGTCCCAGGTGCACGGCTGGCGGCTGCCAGGCTGGGGGCGGTGCCCTGCACACGCGCCGCAGACTCCCGGGTGGCCGCCCGACCTGCTGCTGCCTGGGTGGTTGAGAGCCGGTTGCCTGACAACGCGTTGACGCTTTCCGAGGCATCCGCTACCCGCGACGCCCGGAGACAGTGCTGGCTCTCCCGCGCCTTCTCCCCGGCAGGCGCGCCGCGGCTGCGCTAAGCCTCACTGAGTGCTTGCACCTCGGGGGCTGGTTAATGTTTTTACTTTGCCAGTCAAACTTAATCTCCATATCTCTATGAAATCTGCTGGTTTTTTTTTTTGTTTGTTTGTTTCTCACTGTGGTTGCTTGACACGCTAGAACCGTCTCTCTCTTGATTTTAGTATTTTTATTTGGAATTTGAGTTAGTTTAAAAAATACATTTTGTTTTGTGTGGGGGGGCGGGGGGCGGGCAGGCGACGTGCATGTGGAGGTTAGAGGACAAACTTTGAGTTAATTCTCTCTCCTTCCACAGTGTAAGGCTTTATAGAAAGCTAGTTCTCCTGAGAAGCTGAATTTTATATGAAAGATGGCTTCTCGTGTTAATAAGCAAAAACAAGCCCCGAGTAAATTAGGGAGACTCTTTTTTTTTCTTCTTCCTTATTTTTCTGTGAACTTTCTGGTGTTGAGTATCTGCTGACATACTCCCATGGAGATCTTTTTGATCTCCTGCTCAAGGATGATCTGGGAAGGGAGCAGATAGGTTTAGATAAGGCAATCACGCAAGGATGCTTGCAGGAACCCCCACCCTCTCCCCACCCCCAAATGTGGGTTTCAGAAAAGCTTGACTTAACTTTTACAAATTTAAACAAATTTCACACTCTCAGTTTGGTTGTGAGCTGCCATCTCACCAGCCCTCTACGCTATCTTTTAAACATTCTGAATGTGCTGTGATGTGCCTGAGTGGTAGAAGTGTTGGGTGTAGCACAAATTCTAATTATTCTTAATAATAAAATCCCAGAGTCAGATATCAGGGGATGAAAGCTGAGAGATCAGAGAAGTGGTGCAGCCAGCCACTAGAGAGACCTTTTACCTCTACCAATGCTCAGACGGAAGGGGTGATCCTGTTCTCAGATCGTCTCCCCTGACTGCTTTAGACTGCACCTCAGACTGCATCGTTGGACTGCAAATGTCTCCACCAAACCCCAGACTGCAATGCTCAGACTGTGTCTGAGCTCCTGTCTCCTCCCGCCTTAGATTCCTGTCTCCACTTTCCTAGTACTGCCTGAACTCTAGTGCCTTAGCTCTGCACTCTGATCTTCAGACAAGCTTTATTTGTTAAAACACAAACAAAATATCACTTACAGTTGGACCAAGTGCATTAGCAATTCAGCATAGCCAAAGCTACTTCCTGTCTGCCTGCCACTTCTGTTAATGTTTTGATAATAGTTGCTCAAGCTTTAAATGCTTTCATGTATTTATTCATGCCCGACTTTGTGTCCTGCTCTCCAACCTTGTGCTCTTCCTTCAGCAATATATAGCATATACTTTTTAGAAAAACTTGGAGTGATTTGTCAAAGTCTGGATGTATCTGTAGTCAGTTCATGAGAATGTCATCTGCAAAGGAGGAAAAGGCTGAGACCCTTTCTGGGTAGAAAGCCCCTTTCTATGTGGATTAATGAGAAACTTCATCTTTCCCTTCGTCTGCTACAGCTCTTTTACAGGTGTCTGCCCTTGCTCCCTGCCTTATTTCTCCCTGAGGGTTTGTCCCTAGTCCTTTTCTTTTGTAGAGTCATTTTCTGCAGGCCGCTGCCTCCTATGGTTTTAATATTTTTTGGTTATGATATTTTTGGGATAAGGTCTCACTGTTCAGCCTAAGCTGTTGTTGACACTTCACCCTACTAATTACTGAGGTTATAAAAGTATGAGCCACCATACCAAAAAAATCAGCCCCCCCCACTAGGTATTGGGGATGGAATCTAGGGTCTCACACCTGCTAGGCAGTGATCTGCTATCCAAGCTACAACCCCAGCCCAGTAATAGACATACATACCAAACCCAATATCAACAGCAATAATAATGCTATTTTTTGCGGAGGACAGTATCTTGCCATATGATATGTTTAGGCTATCCTGGAACTCCCTATATTGTTGATGAATGTTCCAGAGATATTTAAATTGTTGACATTTTTACTGAATTCTTTAAAATTATCTCATATTTGCTCCCCAAATCCCAGACTGACTAAAATGTCATTGTGGCAGGGGATATGGTCTAAATATTAGGGCAAGGATCATGTTTTATTTTACCCACCTTCCCCACAAATCTAGCATCTCCTGCAGTCTAGAATAGTACCCTGGTTTACACAGGAGTCACGTTCCGTTTCTCATGCTCCCATATTGGGGAGAATATGTGCTCTGTCCTACTTGGGAGAGAGAAGGATAGAGAACATTTTCCCTTATGTTGACTCGGATTATGACAACCAAGAATTGGTAACTAGTGATTTAAAACTCACTATACTTTAAATCTAGAGGCTTTCCCTCCCTCCCTTACCCCTTTTTTCTCTTTCTCTTGATTTTTCTTTTACTCTTTCTTTCTTTCTTTTTTTTTTTTTTTTTTTTTTTTTTTTTTTTTTTTTTTTTTTTTTTTTTTTTTNTTTTTTTTTGTGGTTTTTGAGACAGGGTTTCTCTGTAGCTTTGGAGCCTGTCCTGGAACTAGCTCTTGTGGACCAGTCTGACCTTGAATCCCAGCTGAGTGCTTGGCTCTTACTTTTTTTGTAGGGGAGGTTAAAGTAGGTCTTTTTTTTTTTTTTGGAAGTGGATTCAGAATCTTATGCATGCACAGTACTTGCTCTTTTTGTGAGCTGTGCCTTTTGAAAGGTGAATGTGTAAGTACGTGAAGCCTATGGAAAAGAGTGACAGTAAATTGACAGCTACGGTGACAAGTATCACATTCCCTGTTACATGTGTGATGCATAAGT